AATAGCTGATTTCATTATAATGTGTTTCTTCCAAAGGTGAAGTCATCGAATTAAGAAAAAAATTAAGAGGTTTAATAAAGACACAAAATTCTAAACCGATAAAAGGAGTAATGCAATTTGTAGCGTTAATCGATGAGAGTCTCAAGTGCTTAGAGAGGCAAGGATTCCAGTATATTCAAGGTCAAACGCAAGGGCAATTTCATCCTATTGATAACGTAAAGACGGAAGCCATGCTTGTTGAAATTACGGATAATGGACAAGATGATATAAGGCCAAATGTCGAAAAACGAACTAATAAAGAAAATTTTTATGATTTAAATGAAACGACAAGAACAGCAATTGTATGGAAAGATGGAACACTTAAAGTCGAGGAAGAAACACATTATAATGAAATCAGCTATTGGAACAACCAAGATGGGGAAGTTATCGATGAGGAAGATAAAGAAGATGTAATTAGCCTGGACGCGTCAGAAATCGAGTTTGACGATGAAAAATCATTAGGGATAGGGTGTGAAGAGATGGAGTGGATATAGAGAAAAAAATTTGATGACATAAATTAGTTTATTCTTTGCAATTTTTAAACAGTCTTTTTTTTTTTTTTTCCGGCCCATAAAAATCACTACCGCTACTAAAAATATCACACACTAAATTATTGGTTTTAATGTGATTACGATAGGGATCAATTCGCCGGCATAGGATAATTTTATTAATAAATAAACGATCCTTTATTAATAATTAATTTTATACTTAATAATTTTAACAACAAACGATTTAGAAAGCCAATTTATGCAATATTTATTATATATTTAATGTCAAACACTTATTATTCATGTTTACATTCATTCATATTACTAATTTAATCATGCTTTGTAAAGATAGCAGGCAAATATAACGGAAGCAACCCAAACGAAGGACAGATATTACTTTTCATGCTTTTCAGTTGCATCGCAAACGCATTTAATACTACATTAAAATTAGTAGGAAAGAGTTAGTAGAAGAAAAATTAGTATAAGAAAATTAGTAACTTGAATGTAAAACTAACCTTTCATCAATTCCCTTCTGCTTATCAGTTCGAGTCTATTAATAAAAATAGTAGTGGTAGGGATTAGCATATGTAATTACTAACCAAAATAGAGAATACGTATTTATGACGATCACCTGAAGTCGAAGGGTAGTATCAAGACGAGGAACGTTACATTCATGAAGCTTAGAAATACATTTGTTGACAGCTTCAAAAATTTTATCTAATGGACCCTCTGCTCAATTTCGAGATAACGAAACAAATTAGAGAATTAAAAAAATAAAAATTTAGATTATTATTATAGAAAACGGGAAGCAAACCGATGTTAGTGCCATAAGCGTGCAATTTATATTTTAAGCTTAAAATAAAGCAAGTTAATATAAAATCGTAACAGGTCATTAAAAGTATTAAAAGAAAGGAATAGAAGTAGACATTTTAATTACCCAGTTGTTTTCAAAACATTATGAACTTCGACAATGTGCTATATTTTTTGTAATGATATAGAAAAAACCAATTATTAAGAACTATTAAGAACTATTAAGAGCTATTAAGAGCTATTAAGAGCTATTAAGAGCTATTAAGAGCTATTAAGAACTGTCAAACGATACTCAAAATGATGATTTAGAATCCTAAACATGCCTTAGAAATATTAACACCGGAGCCTACAGCGCATATCGAAAAATCAGCGAGAACAAGGTCAGTTGGGCAAACCATTGCTATTCTTTTTGTTTGTTATTCTTTGTTCGAGTGTTTGTTATTTAAAAAGTTTACTTGACATAAAAGTTGGACGATACATTTATTTATACAGAAAATCTGAAACAATGAAGAATTCATGACGTATTTGAAATATATCAGACTTTGTCGTGGGAAGTTTCTGAATCTTATGAGTTTCATGAGCATAAACAATTTAATTGATGCAAAGATACAAATAAAAAAAAATACACGTGAAAGTACTGTAAACAGGTTTCGATCATTTAAATTGTGGGAATATATTAACAGTTGTCATTATGAAAAAAAAGACACATTTTCGGAGATTTAATTTATGGATCGAGTTTTTTAACAAATTCTTTCTCTTTTTCTGCACTAACATTATTATTCTCATTATTTTCCGTACTATTTTCTGTATTATTTTCCGTATTGTTTTCACTATTTCCACTATTTCGCATTTCTTTTTCTTTACGACTTAAAGCGTAAGATGCGATAACCGTGGCAAAATAAATCTATAATTATTATTAAAACAATCGATTTCATATGTTAATAAAAAAAAAAAAAAAGATAATAAAAACAATTATGATTATAACAAAAACATACCAAAATGATCGCTCTAATAATGTCGGTAATAATTTCAGTTACCAGGGTAATATTATACGAGTTGGCACAAATATCATTAGCTTCGGAACTAGTATAGTTAGAAGGACTATTCAACCAGATCGTAAGACACTCATCCAGATAATTTTGTCTATTCACAATTGTGTAAATAATATCAGCGATATCTTGAGCAATGAGAATTGTGACAATAATATTGGCAATAATTGAATAGATTTTTAAATTTCTAGACGTATTCTATGATATATTATCGATATTTTATCGATTGGTAATACAAAATTAATAAAATTAATACAATTTTATCATTATTAAAATTTAGACGTTCTTTTAACATCAATACTTACGGAACACCATGTAACTAAAAGACCATAAAATGTACCAAGACTAATTAACGCATAGACGATAGTGTAAACATAGGAAGTCCCATCACCTATCATGATTATTATTATTATTATTATTATTATTATTATTATTTATTTAACTACTGAAATAACGCTAAGGCCACACAATATTAACTTGGTTTTCATAATATAAATTTTATAAAAATTTCTTCAAGAACCCGGTTATAAGTTTTTTTTTTTTCTTTCGAAAGCGTTCAAATTTTGTCTCAACCGAGTTATGAAAACCAAGTTATTAATTTTGTATTGCCTAACGATAAAATGATCCAGTTTTTATTATGTATATATACTTGGATTGCGTGCGATAGTTAAACTTCCAAAAAGTGTATGATATAGCCCATAGAGCTATAAAATCATATATATAGTTAATATATATGTTAATATATATGTTAATATTAATTATAATAATCTAATCGTCTATACGAATTATTATTAACTTGCCAGCAAAAGTGTAGTAATAATTATAACTCCTGCTCTCAATTTTATACATCCACAACAAGTTTTCGGCAGAATAAGCTTCATTTTTCTGCTTTTTTTTTTTTACAAAAGAATTACGTGGTTCTGATATTTAAATAGAGAAGCAAACTAGCTTATATTTTTTTACCCAATTCAAAAAATTCTATTTATATTACCCGGATGTTACTAAGCCTGTATCCGATTCAATTAGGTCATGAAATACTAATTATGGTTTTTTATGTGACTTAATTGTTTGTATTCAATGATCGTAAGCATAAGGTATCGTTACATTATTCTAACTAACTTATCCATTTTTCTTGGCTCCATTCTTTTCAAATAAAAATTTCATTTACCAAATTTATCATAAACAGGTTTAAATACTTATTTCTATCAGGATTGGTATTTATTTTCATTTCTATAACTCTAAAAATAAAAACTTTCATATGTATAAGTACTCACGTACAGTAATAAATTTGTGTTGCCAATTTATCTATATCTATTTTGATAGCTAAAATCTCTCCTAATTCAGTATCTTTGTAACCCGCATTTATATATGTTTTCCTATCAAATATGCAAAAAAACCCAGCCCG